AGCCATGTGTCTGTGTACGTACTACAGACAGGTACAGGTACAGCTACAGGTACAGGTACAGCTACAGGTACAGGTACAGGTACAGCTACAGCTACAGGTACAGGTACAGCTACAGGTACAGGTACAGCTACAGCTACAGGTACAGATACAGGTGCAGGTACAGGTACAGCTACAGGTACAGGTACAGCTACAGGTACAGGTACAGGTACAGCTACAGCTACAGGTACAGGTACAGCTACAGCTACAGCTACAGGTACAGGTACAGGTACAGGTACAGGTACAGGTACAGGTACAGGTACAGGTACAGGTACAGGTACAGGTACAGGTACAGGTACAGCTACAGGTACAGCTACAGGTACAGGTACAGGTACAGGTACAGCTACAGGTACAGGTACAGGTGCAGGTACAGGTACACCCACAGAGGAGTAACCTCAGCAGCAGATATAAAAGTTCTAAAGGGTTAAAAAAACAAACATAGCAAATAAAAAATAAGACAATAAACAACAATAAAATCAGTGGTGGGCACTAAATCACTAACAGGGGAACTAATTACCTGATTAGTGCTTTAGGGCTTTTGATAACTGTAATATTTATTAGTGGATTAGCACTTGCTAAATTTATAGGCTAAATTTAGAAGCACTAACTGAGGTCTATAAATGTTATTGATCAACATTATTGTTCACAGTTGAGGGTGAAAGCTGTCACACATTTTGTTCATGTGTGTGTCATTTATCTACAAAGTCACGTGTCAAACTGAAGGTCCACGGGCCAGATGTGGCCTGCAGATGACTCCTATTAGGCCCGCCAGGAGCACCAAGTGACAAAATTCTGCACACAGTAAATATTGTCTCATGTTGACTGAAGAATGTTTCATGTGTCAACTGGGCCATATTAGTGTTTTAGAATTAGGGAACCTAAATATCTGAGTTAGTGCTTTAGKGTTAGTGCAGCTAATATTTAGATTAGTGCTGCCCACCACTGAATAAAATAATAAAATACTGTACCAGACAATAACAGAAAATACTGTGAAGTTTTAGAAACTGATGTGTTGGACTCACTGACTCGGTTACAACCTACATAATGTGTGTGTGTGTGTGTGTGTGTGTGTGTGTGTGTGTGTGTGTGTGTGTGTGTGTGTGTGTGTTAACATGGAAGAGAAAAAAAGAACAAGTGGGTGGGTGGATTTGAGGAAACTTGACAGCAACTCCTATTCAGACCTCAAGGCAAAATCCAACTTTGACAGCTGTGTGTGCAGTTTGTGCACAAATGTCTGTTTCAGAACAGAACCAGTGAAGGTGAGGAGAAGGAAACACAAACACTCAGCCTGAAAGGGGAGAAGGATTTGTAGAGAAGAGCAGAGTCACATGGGGGAGTGAAAGGTAGGTAGAGATGTTGCCTGGGGGCCCAAATAGCAGACAGACATGAAGAGGAGGAGGAGAAAACAAAGAGGAACAGAGTTTTAAATCAGGTTAGAAAAAAGCCTAGACTTCCTTGAACACATGCATACATCACCTGCAAGCTTTCATGATGTCATTAGCCCTGTGTTGTGTTCTCTTCACTTGCTGCCTGTTTCTTTTAGGATTGTTTTTAAAATGTTGCTCTTGGTTTTTAAATGTTAAAATGGTCAGGCACCTCTTTTTCAACAGAGACTTCTCTCAGCTGTAGGCCCTAAACTCTGGGACAATCTCCCTTCTTCATTAAGGTCTGCCAGTACCACTAATAAATTTAAATCTCTTTTAAAGACTCATCTTTTTGCCTTGGCTTTTACCTCCAGAGAGCACATGTTCTTGTGCTTTTTTATTTTATGTTTTTGCTTACATGATTTTATTTTATTGCAATTTTGTGCTTTCTTTAGCTCTTTGGTTGTTTTCTGGTGTAAAGTGCTATATAAAAATGTTTTGATTAATTCACAGAGTATGAAATGTGAATGAATCTTAGCTAATAACATCTGATTTTAGTTTAAAACAGGTTGTCCTGATGCATCTCAGTAATCCAGGTAAAAAAATCAAAAAGAAAAAAATTGTATAGGTCCTCTGG